GAGTCGCACTGTAGCCAGCTGCCTGTAGGTGAATAATCCGGCCGTAACGAAACGAACGTGCGTGCAGGTAGCTAGCTGCACTGTCACACGGAACTACAGAGCACATTTGGTCTCGGGACGAATTAAGGGACCACCAGTAGTAGAGTGAGTCGCCAAGCAAGCAAGCTTTTCTCTATCTTCTTCTTTGTTGTGATAAAAAAAAATCTTCCTTTTTTGTTAGCAGAGATGAAGTATGTCACTATGTGTAGCTCCAGGTTCACAGGCTTCAAACAGTTATGCTGGTAGGTAACTAGCATTGCTTTTTTTTCCTGTTACTGGCATCCTTATTGAATATTCTACAACATATCTATTTGCCATGTTCCAAATTTCAAATGGTTGAAGGTTTCTTTATGATTCTGACCAATCAGGGTTACCACTGTAATAGTGGCATACATGTAAGGAAAGCTTTTGCCCAATGGTATCATATATATATATATATATATATATATATATATATATATATATATATATATATATATATATATATATATATATATATATATAATTAAAATCTCTTTCGTGTTTGTTTTTAGCCATTTTTGTTGTTACAACAGGCCATTTAGTCATCTGATATTTTATATTTAACCTACACGTATGAACTAAGTTAAAATATTTTGATGTTTCAAGAATGAAGATCTAGGCTTTCAGGAATTTTAATCTTTGTGCTTATTTTGTGGTCCATAACTTTTGTACTATTCAATGCTCTTTTGGGTGATGACACTTCACAATCATGAAAAATGTCAACAAATACGTTGTTTTATCTTCTATCTTGCTTTGTCAGAGCTTACATATTCTTTCGTGTGAGCCAAGGTTTTTACCATCCTAATACTTGACAATTTATAGTTATGTTTGTCGGGCTTCAAACATTTATTTCAGCAGGGTGCAGCACTAGACATGTATAGCTCATTTGAGCAGCAGAACATTACCTTATCTAAAACATTGTACACCTCTTATTAAGGAGGTAAAGTTTGGTTGTTTTCCCTTTTGTTCAGTAAAGTGGCCAAGGGCCACCTGGACCCAGCTAGCCTATATGTTTCATCTCCTGTTAAGATTATAGATCTGAGTGTTTTGTAACAAACTAATATTTCTCATGGTGTAGTCAACAATGCAGATTAAATAATGAAAATATGTTCACTGCTCTTTGCAACCTCAGTTTCCTCTCTTTTTAGATAACAAAATTTGTTTATATAGCGCTTCAGTATTGTCCATTCCTTCCATATGTTGTATTTTCACGGTCCATTGGTTTTACCATTGCTAATGGCGTATCTCATATAGGACTGAGTTATGCCCAGATAAATCTGCGAAACTACAACATGCTCAAATGTGCAGTCTTGCCTGTGCTTTCTTTGATCTCAGATCTTTTTGCTCAGGTTTGGTTACACCTGCGCACATCATTTGTTTCTTTCAGCTTTGCTTCTTGACTACCTCAGCTATATTGTGCTCCCTGTCCTTAGTGGTACAGGTGGTTGTTCATTCCCTTTATTCAATTTTCTGATTAACTACACTATATCCCTTTTTTGGAGAAACCATGTATCATTTCACTGGATGAATAAACTATTATGTTGTTGGAGAACATATGATGTTCACTCGATGAATATAGCAGCTTATACTTTCCCTTTTGGCTTCTACTGATGAAATGTAGCTAAGCCACACTGTCGATTAGGTGAATTAAATTTTTGGGTTCATCCAGGGGATTGCCGTTTACTTTCGTGGTTATTTCTTTCTAATCCTGACCACACACACAGTTGATTGATTTGAATTTTTTTTTTAAATATGCATGTTAAAAATGACAGTTGATAACCTTGCCTAATTAGATGGTATTTGTTTTATATTTGTTGGCAGAGACGGTTTTGGCTTAGAATTAAGAAGCACAAAGCATGACAAATACCCATGTATACATTTATACTCCCTTCCTTTCTGTTTACACACACCTGTGCATGCCTGTGATTATTTTCGTAGCATAGGCTACCTGCTACTCTTTTGCTTCCATGCCTATAGTTATATCCTACAGGCTCAAAGCACATGCTATTCTATTTGCAGTTGAGTTCTGAACAACTGAGTGGTTCAGCTGGCACAGTGACCTGTAGTCTTCCAGCGCCTCCTATATTCAGCCTGTTCGCTTGGTGGTATTCGGCTTATAAATTATGTCTTATCAGTCAACGAACAGTATTTTTCTCTCACACCAAATCAGCCTAATGGTACTTTTAGCCATGGCTTTTAAGCCAAACAAGCCCAAACAAAAAGGACGATTATCTAAAGCGAGGAGAAGAATGAAGCCAAAAAATTTCGGGCTTTTCAAAAGAAGAGATGTTATTTCTTCTTAGATGAAAACAAAAGTGAAGTATGCCGTTACTGTTTGCTTATGAGAACATATACTTAGGTGTGCACCATGTTGGAATGTCAAAATACCAACCTTTTGTGTATGTATACTTATTTTAGTATAACATTTAGTGAGCCTTCTGCTGTGTTTCTAAGCTTATGCTTGTTGTATAAAATCTTCTAATTAGTGTCTAATTTTGTCAAAAATTTTGATGTTTTAGATATAGGTTTCACAGATACTCTGAAATTGTTAGTTTGAGACCCGGTCATTGAATTGTTTTTAAAAAAAAGGTCCAGTCACCGAACACAGAGAAAAAAAAAGAGGCTACGACGTGTTATTACCGGCGCTCAGCCTATGCGGGCGCGGCGGAGCGCGCCGGACGTCTATATAGTATATATATCCCTCAACCACGGATAAATTGCCGCCTCCTCGGTCCTCCAGATACTGCAGCGAATACTGTGCGGTCAAATTTGGACAGCGACGCTTTACTGTTCACGAACCGCGTTTCTCGCATTCCGTCTGCGCGCCTATCCGAATGTTCTTCTCTCCCCACCCCCGTCACTGTTCAACAACGCGTTTCCCTGCACATTGCTGTGCACGTATTCCGTATTTCCATCAGCCGGCGCGGCTGAGCGCGCGTACTGTGCTAGTAGAACAAATGTCCTTACATCTTAAATCCTATAGATACATACGTCCCTATAGTTGGTGACTTGCCGGTCACCGACATCCAAGCTGAGGAATCGGTCGGTGCTCCTGAGGAGACGAATTTATTAAATTTAATTAATCTGTTATTACCTTATGTTAATTGTAGCACCATGTTATCAAATCATGAATTAATTAGATTTAAAATATTCATCTTATAAATTAGTCATAAATTATACAATTATTTTTATAATTAGATTATATTTAATATTCCGACGTCCTATAAGACAGCCTCTGGTTCGTTTCTATTTTTCTTTCCTCCGTCGCGATCTTGGCTGCGCTGGCCTCCACCGCCGTGAGCGCCTCCTCCTCCACCGCCGGCCCGTCATGCGCGCCTCCTCCGACACCGGGAGAGTCTCCTCCGCCGCCGCTCAGGAACCGGTGGCGCCACGACCTTCCGGCCTTGCTGCGAGATCCGCCATGGCCGGGCACGAGACCTGCCCGCATGAGCTCTGGCCGCGTCTCGCGTCGGCCAGGCCCGCGCCCACCGGCCGCCATGCCCCCACGCGTCGTGGCCGCGGCCGGCCGTGCGCTCGCCGGCTGGGGCCGCGCCCATTGAGCGCTGCTGCGCCCTCGCCCGCGCTGGCCGGGCCTGCGCCAGCTGGCCGCTGCCGCGCCTATGCCCGCCCTCGGCCGTTGACGCCGTCCGCCATGGCACTGCGAGCTCCGGTGGCGGGGTGCTGCGAGGCTGCGCGAGCTACTACTACGCACAGTACTGTACTAGCTAGAGCCTGGTCCATGACTGACGACGAGGCAGCCACTCCTCGCGGCGCCCGTTTCCCGCGTGGTGCACTGCGCTACGCTTTCGTATGTCCGTCCTTTGCTACTGGGCAGTGTACTGGCACCAGTGCGGTGGTGTGGCCAACGGCGAGTGGCCGCCGTGCCCTGGTGCACACGGCGCGGAGAGGCGAGGCGCGCATGGCATGGGTGGTGTGCGGTGGTGATAGTAAATTTGAATCATCAATCTAATTAACCATTTGTTGCTTCAAATATACTACTCTTCATTAGATTTGGATATACTCCTACTTAGGTTAGGATTCTAAGCGCACCGTCATTGATCAAACTCGACAGCTGGCCCGCCGCCCTGCGTGAAGGTCTAACAAACTGCGAGTCTCTCGCCGCCATATAACCCACTAGTTGTTAGCTCCAACTAGTTGGGTAAAAAAGTAGCCCGTACCCCAAACCCTACCCTCCGGCACGCCCTGTCTGCTCCCTGCAGCAGCCGCCAGACTTTGCGAGAAAAAAAACATACGCACGCGGTCTCTCGCCGCCCCTCGCCGGTCGCTGCTCCCTCCGGCTCTTCCCCTGCCTCGGCCCCGGCCCCGGGCCCGGCCTCTCCCTAGCCCCGGCGGCCAGCGAGGACCTCCGCCATGTCCGCCCTCATGCCGGTCGTGCGAGGCCCCCAGGCTGGCCGCGCGAGGACCCATGGCACGCGGACGCCTCTAACAAGATCTAGGAGAACAGTGGACAAGACCCATGGCACGCGGTGAGGGGCATACAGTCTTTGTACTGAGACAGTACTATTTATTAGCCGGTGATCAAAAAATGACTGGTCTAACCTGTCCAATCACCGGTCTTAGTCCAACAGGGCATATACTGGCCGCCTTCTCCTTTCACTTCCCCACACCCACCTCCTTAAATTCCTCTCTACTCGTCTAGTCCTCCCGCTGCATACGCATCCGATCCGACCTTGCCGCTATATATAAACACCACACACGGCTCCACTGCAGACTGCACCACACACGGCCCCTGGCACTGCCAGCTTCGTCGCCCACAAAAAATAGGAACCGAGCCAAGGTCCGGCGACCTAGAGCAATAACCACCATCGCCACAAACAGGCCAGCAGCACGTAGCTATATGCCGGAACTGACCTAGAGGATCGGAGCAGCAGGGTGTTTGTTGCCTGTACTGTATACCTAAAAAAAGAGGACCGCCGGAGATGGTGTTTCCTGCCATCCTCCCCAAGGTGGCCGCACGATGGCTCTTCACGTTCTACCGCGCCGCCAGGAAGCTCAGGCGCCACGCCTTCCAGCTCTACTACCGCAACACAGCCACCGCCAAGCCGCCGTCGACCTCCGCCGTCTCGCAGCAGCAGCAGCAGCAGGCCGCCGCCGCCTTCAAGACCGGCGCCGCCATCCCTGACGCCGCCGGCCGGACCGTCCTGTGCGACATGCACGGCGCCCTGCTGCGCTCCACCGCGCTCTTCCCCTACTTCATGCTCGTGGCGTGCGAGGGCGGCAGCCTTCTGCGCGCCATGCTGCTGCTCTGCGCCTTCCCACTCGTCTGGGCGCTCGGGGAGCAGTGCCTTGGAGGCGGCGGCGCCGGCGTCCGGGTGATGGCGTTCGTCACCTTCGCGGGGCTCACGCCCAGGGACGTGGACCTCGTGGCGCGCGCCGTCCTGCCCAAGCACTACATGGAGCAGCTCAACGCGCTGGTGTACGGCAGCCTGTGGCTCCCGGCCAGGAGGAAGGTGGCGGTGACCAGCGCGCCGCGGGTGATGTCCGAGTGGTTCCTCAAGGAGTACATGGCCGCCGACGCGGTGGTCGGCCTCGAGCTGCAGCACGTCACGGTGGGCCGCCGCCGGTACTTCACGGGGTTGCTGTCCGGTCCGGCGACGGGGCCGGAGCTGATGAGGCAGAAGGCGCTCAGGGAGGCGTTAGGCGGCGAGGCGGACGACCCCATGGCCGACGTGGGCATCATCAGCCACTCCAACCCGCTCGACCAGCTCTTCGTCCCCTACTGCAAGGTGCGTGCGTACATGTAGCATCTTTTTTTACTCTATACTTACCATAGATCGACCATATATAGCCTGTTCGGTTCGGTTGGCTGGTTTGTTTCGTCGCTGGTATGTGAAGAAGTACTGTTGGCTGGTTTGTGTGAGAGAAAAATACTATTCTGGTTACAAAATTTACGATCGTTTACGATAAGTACAGCGAAACATAATACGGGGACCTGTTTTCAAGGCATTAATATGGAGTAAGACCGGTATGCATCATTAACGTCTCAAGAAAAGCAGTACTCCTAGTAACCACCAACTACAAAAGCATCATTAATCGGAGTAGGAGGATTGTTGAGCAAAACGCAAGGGAGAGCCAACACGTAGAGCCCGTTCACTCGGAGGAATTTGAATGGTTTAAAAGAACGCTGAAAAAATTTATGAGAGGAAAACATTGTTTTAAATAAAAAAAACATATCAAACTGGATTTAAGGGTGTGTGAACAGAGCCGTACTAGGTTAAATGTCAAAGTAACAATGACATATACCGCCGTCAAAAAAAAGTAACAATGGCACGTCCCAGAATCCCATTCAAACGAGCTAGCTAGATTTTATAGGCATTTTAAGGGCTCATTTGGTTCAAAGGAATTTCACAGGAGAAATGTAGGATTGTGATTTTTATAGGAATGGTCACTGTAGTAGCCTTTGGTTTACATAATTGAGCTGTAGAAATTTTGGAGGAAAGAATTCTCTGCCACCGGTTTCACAGGAGGTGAAATATAGGAAAACAAATATCCACTTGAAGCTCTTTTTCTTTTTTTTATAAGATCGAGGCAAGTCAGAAATAAAGATATTAGCCTGTTCGTTTGATGGTTTCAGCCAGCCCAAACCAGCCAGTCAACAGTGTTTTCCTCTCACAGAAAACCAGCACCAGCTAACTCAAACCAGCACTAGCACCAACCAGCGAACAGGCCCATGATTGCTCAGAGAAGAATGGCTGAAGCAACTAATACTCCGTACAAAAGCAATACATGTGGCAATAAAAGAGCTAGCTTGCCTACAGTTGATTAAACTAACCTGAAAGGATTAGACATTGTTGCTATTCCTACAAACTTTCTATGTCCATCCAAATAACAACTCCAACAAATTTTCTGTGTTTTTCAATCCTTGGTTTTGTATATGCAATCCTATCATATTCCTACATTTTTTCTTTCCCATGTTTTTCCAATCCCATAATCCAAAGGAGCCCTAATCCAATTTTTTAAATCTTAGAATCCAATTAAACACGGATAATAATTAAATAATAAAAAATAATGGATTCTAAGAATCACTATCGAATCCAAACGGGCTCACCTGTTAGCTGTTAATGATGAATTGACTGAAAATTAACCACCGTCTACAGTACCCCTGAACATCACTAAGCACATGCAAAATGTACCGGCAAAAATAAGTCCATGAATCTCGTTCTCCCTCTATACCAAAAAAAAATACATATTTCGCATTTTGAGGAGTTAATTAATTTTAAATTTAAATAGATATATATACCAATATTTATGATACCAAATAAATATCAATATTAATGACACTATACATTTTTATACATTTTTATAGTAAACTTACTTGGTTGTACGATTGTTTGATACTATATTTCCTGCTACCTTTGTTCCTGAGTGAATAAATTTTTAGGGTTATCCTAAGTTATATTTTTTTCTAAATTTCACTAAATTTGTAGGGAAAAACACCATAATTTATGACACCAATTTAGCATCATTAGATAAATGCCACAAAATATACTGTTATAGGGTATCATAAATATTGTTATCTTTTCTATAAAAATTTAGTCGATCATTAAAAAGTTTGACCGAAAGATAACCATAGAAATTGATTCGTTGAGACAAAGTGAGTATAAGGCCTTGTTTAGATCACTCCAAAATTCCAAGTTTTTTCACTCTCTCTCCATCACATCAATTTTTCGTTGAGACAAATGAATCTTTTGAACTTAGTTGGTCTACGATTGGACAATATTTACCAAATAAGACGAAAGTGCTACTATTCATCGGGTTGAAATTTTCTTCAATCTAAACAAGGCCTAAATCTACTCCCACTGTTCCTAAATATATATTTTTTTCGTTTTCCGAGAAATAATTTTAATTAAATATATATTAAAAACATTAATATTTATGATATATAATTAATATTATTGGAAAGATATTTGAATTTAGTTTTTTAATAAATTTATTTGAAGATATAAATGTTACACGTATTTTCTACGAATCGAGTCCTCGTGGCATGTTTAGAACGACGATAGTTATTTATGAACGAGGGAAGCAGTGGAAATACGAGATGCAAATTTATTTTTTGACGACCGAGTAGGCACGAAGTAGGCCTAGCCGTGTAGCGACGCACTAGGGACGACTGGAGAACTCCAGTGCGAGCAGAATGATCGGACGTACTATATGTACTGTACTCCTACGTAGTATAGTAGCTAGAGGCAGGCAGTGCCACACTGTGGATGTTCAGAGTTCGCACTGACCAGCCTGTGCAGCCGACGTTTACACGTGAGAGCACGAATCGGCGCCCCGCGTCCCTTTAATTGGAGTACAAACGCGGGTTCAGTTACTCCTCAAAAGTTTACAACCTAACCTGTCTTATTTTAACATATGCATAGAGTATTAAATATAGATTAAAAAATAACTAATTATATAGATTGTGACTACTATGTGAGACGAATCTTTTAAATTTAACTGAATAATGATTTAATAATAAAGTATTACAGTAACACATATGCTAATAATGAAGTAATTAGTTTTAATAAATTTATTTTATGGTTTACTAACGAATTTTATAATTTATTTTTTTATTAGTATCCGAACACCTCACGTGTTCTCAAACTTTATTCTCTTGAACTAAGGCGTTAAAAACTCTGGAGTCTGGACCAGTACTGCTACTGCCGGAGTAGCATGCACATCCAGCATTCCAGCCTCGCAGAGCCACAAGTTGTCCTCAAGAAGGGGGAAAAAAAAAAGATGGCAAATCGGCGGGCGCCGGAAGGGGACACACATTGCATTGCATGCGAGCGCACGCCATTGAAGCCCATTTACGGTGCGTTTGGTGGCATTTAAGCGTGTGTGCTGCTGTTGTTTTCTCCCTGCCCGGCCCGCCGTGGCCGTGCGCACCTTGGCCACGAGCGCGGCAACGGAGACCTACTGCTAATGGGAAGTGACGAGTGATTGATCATCGGCGAGGCCACTATTGCTATTCCTATTCCTACGTACTGTACTGTTGTTCGTTCCGGGTCTCCTGTAGTAAACTGACTACTGCGGACATGCGGTGTCCCTGCCCAAGTGCCCATCCCCATCAGCGTACAGCACCTGCATTTCAGTGAGTAGGAAAGCTGCAGGCCAGCGTACAGTAAAGTTATGAGAGCATCTAAGAAGCCGCTGCATAAACTCTATATTTTTTTTTTATGTGAAGCAGTTCTTGAGTTTGTGTAGCGAACTTTGTGAAATAGTACCAAGGTCTTGTTTTGTTTAGACTGGAGCACTGTAGCATTTTCGTTTGTATTTAATAATTATTGTCTAATCATGGTCTAACTAGGCTCAAAAGATTCGTCTCGTAATTTACAATTAAACTGTGTAATTAGTTATTTTTTTTATCTACATTTAATATTCCATATATGTGTCTAAAGATTTGATGTGATGAAGAGAGTGAAAAAACTTGCAATCTAAACAAGGCCCAAACACTCCTCTGCCATGCCATGTGTGTTAGATATTGGTAGAATGTTTTAACATTTAATCAAGTTGTTCGAACGGCACTGGACTGGAGCAGTATTTTGCTCTGCTCACCCACCCAACTTCATTTGGCACCGTCCCAAGAGGCAAGCCCGTCCGACACGGGCTATTATTGTTGTCTATCTACTATAAATGAGCATGGCTGGCCATGCTCGGTTAGCTCCACCTCTACTGCTAGGCCATGTGTTTTCATGCACCGATACAGATAGGCTGGGTTTTCAAAAGTTACGGGGCTCGGAGTTAAGACGTACGGGACAGAAAATGGAACCATCCGGGTGCAATTCATGCATGCATGCATGCATGAATGGAAATTTCGAGACCTGGTAGGTGCCCTGCCCCCTACTCAAAGTTTGCTGTTTTTGTTATAGTAGTTCAGATGCGTACAACAAAGTGATCTCATGATCATCGACAGTGCACACTGCACACAACCGTGGTGTTGGACACATCGACAGTGAACAGCACTATCAGTGATCAAATATCCTCAGAGTTGTGTCGTCCCTGTGATCCATATTAATGTCTGAAAACGAAACTTTTAAGTTGATTGGTCTGGCTGTATTTAATGCTGCTGATTCAATCAACAAAGGACTCAACAGTGTACTCCTACACATGATTGATTGGTGGGAGTGAGATGCTTGTGGTCTTGATTCCTCACTACTCTATGTTTTTTTAATATACAATTGGGCATATTTAATTAGACCCTTTGGGTGCATACTGTTTGTTTATTTTTAGTTAAAGGATTAGTTTAGCACAGTTCTAAAAAAAGGGGGTTATTACTCATTCATGGATTCATAGCGTAGGGGACCACACTGAAATCTTTAAAAAAACAAATAATTGGTCATTTTCGCAAATATAATTGGAGTATATGCAATAGTCGGCAAAAAAAAAACATTTATTAATAGCTTGACCCTCTTTTAAAGCATAAGGGCCCGTTTGATTCTTTTAGGGCAGTCTCGATGCTTAGTTTCACTACACGATTTTCAAAACGCCACATTAGCTTGAGCGGGATGAAACAATGAATGAAACTAGCCTTTACAATGCAGCGTTTTATTTCATCAATTCCAAAACTAAGTAAAGCATTTAATTGATGTACAATGATCGTATCATATGCATCGATTGATTATGTGGGATGAAACTCTCCCATCTCAGTGCGGGTGTCGTGGGGTTACCGAGAGCTTGGAAACAGAGGTGGCGAGTGTCGTGGCTATGAAACGAACTTGTTCTCTCTCCTCACCATTTCATGCAAAAAGTGTTCCCATACTGATGTGTCACCCTAATTAATATGCATGACACTCCCATGACATCCCCATTGAGACTGGCCTTAGTCACATCTCTAAAGTTTAGTCACCCCTTTAAAGTTTAGTGACCTTCTGTTTAGATCCATGTGCTAAAAGTGAAAAGAAGATGAGAGAGAAAGAGAGTAAAGTCACATGAGACCACTTTTAGTCACTTTTAGCTACCTCTAGCCACTAAACTTTAGTGACCCCTTTTAGTTAGGATGTTTAACATTTTAGTGACTAAAAATGACTAAAGGAACCAAACATGCCCTAAATGTGATATCTAGTCGGAGAAGTCATTCACGAAGAGCTGAACCTCCTTTTCGGCAGTTATAAATGTACAGTACTTGGTCCACCCTTCCATTGATGGAATTTCAGACTATAGGGTGTTTTCGGAACACTTGAATTTTACAGAAATCATACCGATATTTTATAGGAATCAGTGCCATTTTCATAAAAAAAATGCAGAAAACCAAAAGGTACGTTCAAAAGGGACTTTAGTTTGGTGCGTGGTCATCAGTCCACTTTGAATTTTAGTTTAGTGCACCGCATGCTCATTTAATAATAAAATCACGCATGGTACTCATCTAGTCATCTTATTCGTGTTTTATCAATCATCAATTCGACATGTAATTAAATTTCAAAAAACAAAATCTACATGTAAGTCCGAATTAACTCACTGACAAGTACGATTGGGTTTCTCGCAGGAAGTTTATGTCGTGAGCAGAGAGAGCACAGAGAATGACAAGCTACCGCGGGACAAATACCCGAAGCCGCTCATCTTCCACGACGGGCGCCTTGCCTTCCTCCCCACCCCGGCCGCCATGCTCGCCTTCTTCCTCTTCCTCCCGCTCGGCGTCATCCTCTCCGTCATCCGCATCAACATCGGCATCGCCCTCCCTTACAAGATCAACTTCGCGCTCGGCGCGGTCTTCGGCGTCCGCTTCCGCGTCTCCGGCCTCCGCGCCCCGCCGGCGCCGGCGGACGACGGCAAGCAGCAGCAGCAGCGCAGGGGCGTCCTGTACGTGTGCACGCACCGGACGCTGGTGGACCCCATCATGCTCAGCACGGCGCTGCAGAAGCCCGTGCCGGCCCTGACGTACAGCCTCAGCCGGCTGTCGGAGCTGATCGCGCCCATCAGGACGGTGCGGCTGATGCGCGACCGCGCGCGGGACTCCGAGACCATGTCCAGGCTGCTGAAGCAAGGGGACCTCGCGGTCTGCCCCGAGGGCACCACCTGCCGCGAGCCCTACCTGCTGCGGTTCAGCCCGCTGTTCGCGGAGCTGGCCGACGACATGGAGCCCGTGGCGCTGGACGCGCAGGTGACCACGCTCTACGGCACCACGGCGAGCGGCCACAAGTGGCTGGACCCCGTGGCGTTCTTCGCCAACCCGGTGCCCTCGTACCGGGTGGAGTTCCTGGGTGCCGTGCCGCGGGAGTGGACGCGCGCCGGGGGCAGGACGGGCGTCGAGGTGGCCAACTGGGTGCAGCGCCGGCTCGGCGAGGCCCTGGAGTTCGAGTGCACCGGGCTGACTCGCCGCGACAAGTACATGATGCTGGCCGGCAACGACGGCGTGGTCGCCAAGTAGAGCGCGCCGGGCGCCGGGCGTGCGCTGCAACAGCTGGGTGTGTTTTTATTATGCATACATGCTGGGTAAATTATTGTCGAAAGCTAGTTACTGTAATTTGCATGGCAGTAACGGATCTTTTGGTTCCGTTGTGTAAAGCAAATTTGATTAGCTGCAAAACTAATCGAATACTACTAGATGCTTGGATTTAAATTCAAATCAAAATAGTATATATTTCGTCTGATCGTTTTGCAGAATCATTTGCAACCCTCGTCAAACTATTTACAATATCAACCCCCTCCAGCTAATTGTGCAAGGGGTACATGAAACCTTTGAACAAATTGTTTAGGGCTCATTTGATACGCATGTATTCATCTCAATTCACATGTGTTCGAGCAGATTAGAGTGGAATTAAACTAAATTCCATTCCACGTCAACACATGTTGATTGAGGTGGATACACATACATTCAATCAGGGCCTTATGGGTATCCCCATACATAATATATACTGTAAAACATAAACTAACCTAAATTTGAAGCAATTCGCCCCTCTTAACACTCAACCCACCACTCCAAGAGAGATACTAGAATACTCACTCCATCCTCAAATAAATTAATTCCTAGAATCCGTGCAAGTCAAACTATCTTAAGTTTGATTAACTTTAAAGTAAAGAGTACCAAAATCCATGACATAAAATGAGCATATTAAGAAAAATGCATTGTATGGTATATCTAATGATACTAATTTGATGTCATAAATCTTGACTGTTTTTTCTAGAAATTTGGTCAAAGTTTAAAAAGTTAAGTTAAGATAGCTCTAGGAATTTATTTATTCAGGGACAGAGGAGTATACAAACTCTGAACTCTCCTCTCTCTCGATTTTGTAAACAACTAGATGATGAAGCAAGTGACAGTGTGAACGCTCTGAGACTACTATATACTTCCTCCGTTTCAAATTAAAGTCATTCCAACTTTCTAAGAAAGTCAAAACATCTTAAATTTGACCAAAGTTATAGAGAAAATTACAAAGATTTATGATATAAAAAAGGTATACTATGAAAATATAATTAATGAAGAATCTAATGATGCTTATTTGGTATCATCCATGTTATTATTTTGTTATATAAATTTTTTCAAACTTGAAATGTCTTGACTCTCCAATAAAGTTGAATGACTTATAATTTGGGACAGAGGGAGTAAGTATTTGGTTACTTTCTGTTGATTCCTTTTTTTTAGCAACTTATGTAGATTCCTCCTAGGAAATCATGGTTTGTTTAAGATACAAACAAGCAGCCCACTTGCACCGTCTCTAATCGTATCATATGTGATCCCCTAGACATACATTCCTCCTACTACTAGGAGCTTAGGCCCAATAGAGTGGGGACAGTTGAGGCCCACAGAAAGGCTCAAACATTGTGGGATCAGAGAACATGAAAAGCCCAAATTGGTGAGGATGCATTAGAACCAATTGTGGAAACAGCCCAGCAGGTTTGCGCATATGTATACTTTTGTCCATCTGCCATCAACTCAAGCACCAGAAAAGGCCCAGAAAACATTCCAAGCCACTATGCCCCAGTCCACCATCGTTAGGCTGCACTGGCCACTGATTGGCGCTTCACTCAGGCTCGTAGCCTGGACGGATCACAAAAGGTAAATCTGGACGCTTTGGCCAACCATCATATCTGCACAGCGAAAAGGGGGCAAAAGGAGACAATCGGCATCGCCGTCTTTGGAGAGCGATGAAGTGAGTGAGGAGCGCCCAAATCAGGGAGGGAGTCAGGTGGACCTTTTCCTCGTGTAACTGTTATGTTATCCCATGGCTAACACCAGTCGCTACAGTGAAAGACGGAGCTTCTGCCAGGGGAAGGCTTGCAAGACCTGCGGCTTCTCTGCTCCAAGCACCGCCACCACCGTCGGTCCGTCGCTAGTCGTCGGTGCTCCGGCGGCAACCTTCTGCTGGCGGATGCGTAGCGATGATGATCGCAAGTAAAAGCTGTGGTGGCGACGATATGATGACAACGGACAACGAATCCAAGGTGGGCTAGTTTGTGAGCTGCAGAGAAACGCTAGTTTCTCGAGCTCTGTTCAAATGGAACAGTCTCTAGAAAGGCATGTCTGTCGGAGAAGCAGCAGTACTTGTATATCCATCTGTTTTCGGTACCATGATTTTCTTTTGCTCCACTTTGTTTCAGTTTCTTTATGAATCGTGGATGGGGAGGATGATGGATTCTTCGGATCATCTAGGTGTTGATTAGTGGGTGGATTCATCTCTATTTAATTTAAATCGATCTAGAAACATGACTCGAGAGATGGAGACAGAATCGGGAGAGGGTCATACCTTCTGACTTGGCAGAGGAGGAAGAAATCGCCATGGCAGTGGCGATGCAGTGAGGGGCGACGGTGGCGCGGTGTCGTAATCGAACACCATGCAGTGGAGGCGTGGTCCAGTGACGACGGCGAAGGCAGTGGCGTTTTCCGTCGCTCACAGCGCTCCCTTGATCGGTTAGGGTTAGGTAAGGAGTGGCGGCGGTGGTGAACCTCGTGACTCGAGATCCAGTTCCCACCTCTTATTTATTGTGCTGCGCGACGGGGGGCCATCAGCCAGAAGAACGGCTGGGCGCCCCCGATCAGGGAGCGGATTAAGGGCCCAATTAGCCGTTGGGCCAAATTGGTGGAGATCAACCTAACATTCTCCTCCTTGATCTCACCTTATGACTTAAACTTAACTTCATTTTTCCTTTTTTTCATTCCAACACAAATCAGTGTATAGAGCGTGCCTCATCGTCACGGTAAGTTGTCACTAGATTAAACAGTTACAATGCATCTCTCTATTTTTGAAACAGATACTCAACTAGGCCCTTAGTATTTAGAAATCATAAGCTTTCTCATGAACCCACGTCGACTGTGTGTTCTCTGAACGCACTGGGTGGTTAACCTTTGGTAAGCGGATCCGCAAGTACTTGCTTGGTACTTATATACTCAATGCTTTCAAAATGATTCTGGATTTTCTCCTTTACAACATATAACTTAGTGTCAATGTGTTTGGCAGCACACTTGACATGTTGTCTTAGGAGTTAACTTACTTTAAATAGTTATTGTTGTTGTCTACCATTATTAAATCCGGGTACAAATTCCCTTAACCTCTTTGCCTGTTCCTTAAGCCTCATGTCAAGTTATACTATGGTATGCATCACTGATGACACCACAACTGTTTCTTTAGAGTTTTTCCACAATAATACTCTAACTACGAGTGTTAGCAACTACTGTGGATTTCACTACACATCTCGCTAAGACTTAATATTTTTACCCTTAACTATTTAAGAGTACTTGTTCTTTCTTACTTAGTATGAGGTATATGATACTTTGCAAAATTGCAAGACATTTTTAACTCCATTCCAGTGATCTATATCTGGACTGGACTTCTACCAAAATATCCCGGATACATAAACTACGTCAGGGTAAGTTCTTACTTGTACTTGTACACTCATCAAGCTTTCAACAGCTGAAGCATATGAAACCATGTTCATTTGATCGATCTCATATCGATTCCTGGAACATTTAAAGTTTCCAAATCTATTACCCTTGACTATAGGAGCAGGCGTAAGTTTACTCGCATGCATACTTTATTTCTCTAGAATCTTTTCTAAGTATGCCTTTGCGATAGTCCTAATATTTCATTTTCTTCTATCTCGGTGAATTTCGATTTCTAGAACCAATGACGCTTCACGAAGATCATTCACATTGAAACTTGAGGGCAAAACTTCTTCTTTTCTAATGACAGATTAACATCACTACTAGTGAGTAGAATGTCATCTATTCACGGGATGTGAAAAATAAATTTTCCATTCTTGAACTTCGCATAAATGCTATTGTCCTTCTCATTTTCTTTAAACCCAAACTTTCTTATCGTTTTATCAACTTCAAATACCACTGTCTAGAGACTTACTTTTAATCCATAAATGGATTTCTACAGGCGACATCCCTTATATTCTTTTCTTCCACGACAAAAACCTTTTGTGTTATGCCATGTAAACGTTTTTTTTCATATAAATGCTCGTTGATGAATGCCATCTTTACATCATCTAATGTATTTGTGAATCGTAATGTGCCATGAACACCATTATGACTCTAAAAGAATCCTTGCATGAGACTAGAGAGAAAACTCCCATTGTAATTTTTTCATTCTCTTTGCGTAAAGTATATTGCTACAAGTCGTGCTTTATATCTTTGTACATTTCCTTTGGAGACACATTTTGTCTTGTAGACCCATTAATAGTCTACTATTTTGGCTCCATTAAGAATTACTTATAAGTCTCAAACATCGTTGGTATTCATCAAATTCATTTCAACTTTATATCATTCTACATTCCCTTTGGAGGCATATTTTGTCTTGTAGACCCATTAACAACATACTGTTTTGGCTCCATTAAGAATTACTTCTAAGTTCCAAAAAATCGTTGGTATTCATCGAATTTATTTGAACTTACATAGCTTCTTGCCATTTAAACAAGTAAATGTTTCTCATGGCTTCTTTAAATGAGGTGGGATCACCCTTCTTTTGAATTTCTTTACTAACATAGACTTCATAGTAATTGAAAAAACTGGTTTACTAATTCTTTGAGACCTTCTAGGGCCTCAGCTACTGGCACTTTTATATGGGGTTGTTGTTGCTCTTCATTGCCAACAGACAATTGATTCTACAGGCTCCTGTATTATAAGATCCTTGTTTACATTATTCATCTTCTTTGAAGAGCCAACAACATGTGTTGTATTTATCATACAACATCAACAGGTATTGAGAAACTTGTTGCTCCTAAGTTATTGGAGTGGGCACGCAGTTCCTCTTCTCTTCAAGACTTAGGTCTCTACATACCTCTACATACCATGCTCCCCAGATCTTCCCATCTTTTTTAAAGATGGCGTATCTTCAAATATCTTATTTTTAGATTTAATCTGTTAAAACCTCATATGGCGCTTTAAGCACCACCTCAACATCTTTGAGGCTGACTACGCTATTTTCCTATCAAAACTTTAAAAGGTCTAGGAATTTAGCTATTTTCCTGCTTAGGGGTATCAATGTTGTGACCGTTGTACTCCTCCAACAGTTGCATTCTTAATGAAGAGTATCTTTCTTAATTAATCTTTATCTCACTCTTAATGAAGAGTATTTTTTCTTAATTTATCTTAATATTCTCCCCCTCGAAATATGACATGAACTTTACTGCCATAATTTCGAGAACCATTAAAAAAACATGTGAACAAGGAGACACATATAACTTACTTCATTCACATGATTATGTCATGTGAAACTAGTTATTTCTTGATTCGTATAGAAGTACACTTTCCTTATTTCACTTCGAGAACTCAACGAGGTCTTTCATTAGCGCAGTGCTTTTGCAAGTCACACTTACATCTTTTCTTATCTTTTGGTTAGTATTGATCATGATGATGTAATTTTATTGTGCCAAGGTCAATACTAGGACAGCATAAGAGCTACCCAAGCTTCTCTCGCTATACGGGACACAAACATGTGAATTATCACAAAACCTCTCCCGCCATGCAGGATAGACTAGCATAAGTACTATGCCAAAACTTCTTCTCTTGCGGGATACATCTATACGAGACTTAGTCATGACGACTAAAATATTCACTTATACTTCATTTTTCAATTAAATCTTCCCGTTGGCTCTAATTTAATCAAAAAATTAGTAAAAAAAAAAACTGTCCTGAACTGGCTTGACTCAAGCCTTTCCATTCACATACCCCAGTATTGCAGTCCATTGGCATGCAGACGAGTGATCTCGTCGATTAAAATAAAACATACAATATGCTTCTACATCAATTCTACATCACCGTTGGGCAGAAAATAGAATTAATGCTTAAAACTCATAAATTAACTTGAAATACATATAACTACTCTTCAAAATTAAATTCTTCCGTTGTTTCAAATTTAATTAGAAGGTAATCAATATCATTGCAACGGAAACTTGATAATAAAATACATTCTTTTATTAGTTTAGGAGCATTTCTTAATTCTTATCTACTCTCTGAAAAATTAACCGCGTTGGTGTAAAATTTATTAGAGATTTAAACCTCAAACTTGAATTCATTATAATATTGTCATCATCAACGTTGGTCAGAAAATGACAATACCATAGTCTGACTTAAACAAAATGAATTACTCCTCTAATTTAATTTTTTTCCTGCTGGTTCCAATTTAATTAGAGAATAAACATAATCATAATTTACTAAATATAACTGATCTTTAAATTAAATTCTCCCGTTGGTTTGAATTTAATTAGAAGATAGTCAACATTAAACTTTGCAGCGGAAATATAAAAAAAATTCTTTATCTACTTTTCAGAAGCATTTAACTTTTCTCAACTACTCTCTAAAAAAATTATCCCGTTGATTCAAATTTTGACAGAGATTTAAACTAGACAAAAATCATCAAAAAATTGCTTCTGAAAAAGAATAAAACATAAACTCGGAGTTCACTGTTCATTTGGCCCAGACTTGATGAAACAGTCGCGGCCCACGTCTGCGCGCGCGGCCAAGCACCACGAAATCGGCCCACTACGCACGCGCGCGCAGCTCCTCTCCCGCACCCAGGCCGCAACGTGGGCCTAGGCCGGGATTCCGCTGCCCCGCCTAGGCCAAATCTGGCCCATCCTCCGTCAGCCGTTGGATTCGAATCGGATGGTCGTCCGCGCGCATCGGGTGAACAAAACGCGACGTGGCCGGTGTCCCCGAACCCTAACTCAATTTTCACCTCTCCTTTCTCTCTCTCTCTCGCACCACACAGGCGTTAGCGGCAGCGGCCACGGTGGTCGTTGACGTCGGTGAGGAAGACAGCCACTGGAGCAAGTCTGGCTCCCCTTCCTCCTCTTCTTTTCTCTTCCCTTTCCCCTTCTCTTCCTCAGCGCCGCAGTCAGAGACGACCACCACGCGACGGCAGCCCGTGGCGGCCGGAGAAAAAGAAGGTGGCGGCGCCGCTGCGGGGCCCCTCGTCGGCGCGCGTGCTCGCCCAAGGTTGAGCGCATCGCCGTCGAGCGGCCTTGTGGCGGCGCCCTAGATTCCGAGCCCGCACGTCGGCGTCTCGGCGGCGAGCGGTGGCTCGGCTACCCGTGCGGCGTCGGGGCTTTCTTCCCTCGTAGCGGCGGTGCGACGGCGGTGGAGAAGCCCTGGTAGGTCCTCCCCTTTCCGTCCTTGGTTTTCTAGGGTTAGGGTTTGGGTTTGGCCGGTTAGGGTTTGGTCGAAACCCACTGCTACTGCTTTTCTTCCCCGACTGGATCTTCGCGGGCTATGGTTAGGGTTTGTTTTCGATCCCTCTTTCTTTCTTTTTCACCCCGACTAGGGTTAGGGTTCCAATCCGAACCGGATCGAACCCTCTACTTGTCTATCTTTTCGATTTCTTTTTAATTTTCTACCCCACACTCGATCTACACACTAGATAGCTTGTCTCTGATACCATTGATGGATTCTTAGGATCATCTAGGTGTTGATTAGTGGGTGGATTGATCTCTATTTGATTCAAATCGATCTAGAAACATGACTCGGGAGAGGGAGACAGACTTGGGAGAGGGCCATACCTTCTGACTTGGCAGAGGAGGAAGAAATCGCCATGGCAGTGGCGATGCAGTGAGGGGCGACGATGGTGCGGTGTCGTAGTTGAACGCCGTGCAGTGGAGGTGCGGTCCAGTGGCGACGGCGAAGGCAGTGGCGCTTCCCGTCGCTCACAGCGCTCCCTTGATCGGTTAGGGTTAGGTGGGGAGTGGCGGCTGCGGTGAACCTCGTGACTCGAGCCCCAGCCCCCATCTCTTATTTATTGCGCTGCACGACGGGGGGCCATCAGCCAGAAGAACGGCTGTGCGCCCCCGATCAGAGCGCGGATCAATGGCCCAATTAGCCGCATAATGAACTTGAAAGAACAAAACAGAAGAATGACTATAGTCGACAGAACAAAAGTTCAGACTAATATTATGAAAAATCAAAGGAGGATGGACCATACAATTTGCCATTTTCATCATCTAACTAATCTCGAGTACAATCATCATTACATGATTAATGTGTGTTTTATTCCTGCATCTTTTTAGGGCAATGTATTTTATTCCTGCTAAAACAAAGCCCAATCTAACGTTACTTCCTGTAAAATCATACCGGACATTTCTCATCCACACAGAAAAGCCATTTCTCATCTAACGTATACTTTGGGGGAACGGAAATCTACAAAAACAAACAACCTCGTACGGGGGCTTCCCTCTGCAGATATTAAACCGCAAAGCCAAACATTCTCCCCAATCCCGATGGTCCTCATCTGATCGACGCGATCATGGACGCAGCAGCCGACATGAAGAATTCTTTCACCTCCAAAGTAAACTACTGGCCCGAGCAGCTTTCCTCCCTCCGGCGTCACCCTGCTGCGCTAGATCTTCTTCACCCCCCCTGACCCTGATCCACCACCGCCTTTCGCTTTGCCCGTGCATTTCTTTGCCATATGTTAACCAGCTGTTGCGTGCTCCAACCCCGCAAAGCTCCAAGCCTCCCCTCCCAAGTTTCCTCTTATTCCTTGTCGCTCTTCTCTCTCTCCCCTGCCGCGGAAGGAACCTGTGATTCGACGTGCCTGCTGGCGTCATGTTTATATATACGCCATGGACGAAGAGAAAGCACGGCCCCTACTTTACACCGCTTCTTCGTGCAGTAGCTGTCCATCGTCGCGCGCTTCGCTGCTGGGTTTTGTTTGTTTGCATTGGGTTTTGGAGGGGGGATCAAGGTTGGCATCAGGAGACGAAATGAGTCGTAGGCTGTTCAATCCCTTGGGCTTCCTTCTTGCCATCGTTGTCCTCTATGGTGGTGAGTTGCTGATTCATTCCTCGCATTCTTTATGCACCAAACTCTTTCGTGTTGTAGCTAGCCACGTGCTAGCCCCATACTTTTTGCACCATACTCTGATTCTTGAGGAAACATTGTTCAGTTCTTTGCTGTAATGATGAACAAACAAGATAGTAGGTGAAAAAGTATATCATCATCAAGAACTGACTAGATCGGTGGAAATAATCAGAGCCTTCCATCTGATCACAACAGGAACAGAGCAGCGGAGAGCAGAGGCAGCGGATGGAGCGAGCCCGCACAGGCTGCTGACCACCATCTCGGTGTCGAAGCCGTCCTACCCCACGGTCACCACGCCCATGTCGGCCTACGCCGACCCGGTCTCCACGCCAGGCACCCCGTACTCCACGTTCCCGTCACTGGCGACCGGGAACGGCGGTGCCGGTGCCGGTACAGGTGGCGGTGGCGGTGGCGGTGGCGGTGCCGGTGCCGGTGGTGGCGGCGCTGGGGCTGGTGCTGGTGCTGGTGCAGGTGGGGGCGGCGGCGGCGGCGGCGGAACGTGGTGCGTGGCCAGCCCGAGCGCGAGCCCGACCGCGCTGCAGGTCGCGCTGGACTACGCCTGCGGCAATGGCGCGGACTGCTCCGCGATCCAGCAGGGCGGGAGCTGCTTCAACCCCGACACCGTCCACGACCACGCGTCCTACGCCTTCAACAGCTACTACCAGAAGAACCCCGCCCCCACCAGCTGTGACTTCGGCGGCACAGCCACCATCACCAACACTGATCCCAGTAAGCAACAAATGATGCATGTCTTGGCGAATTATTTCGTATTTGATTAGTAACAAATCTCCTCACTCTCAAGCAATTTTCTTCCAACTTGCAGGTTCAGGGTCGTGCCAGTACCCATCATCAAGGTAAGCGTTCTGCGTTCATGTGAATCCAAGCAAGAACAAAAACAAAACAAAACATAACTGTTATTCGAAACAGTGGCTAAAATTTTGATGTGCTGTGAAATGGCAGCGGCGGCGGTCAGAACATGATGCCGCCGCCATCACCGACGACCATGCCGCCGACAGCCCCCACCTCCCCGATGACCCCGACAACGCCGGACACTACCACCCCGACCACCGGCACCCCGGTGTACGGATTGTCCCCACCCGACTACGGCTCAATGCCCCCTCCCGGTCCCGGCTACGGATCAACGTCTCCCCCGGACTACAACGACGTCGGCGCCGCCGCGACGGTGGGGCAGGGCAGTGCGGCGGCGCTGGCGCTTCTGTGCGTCCTCATCGCGACAGTATCGCTGCACGTCTCCAAATGAGAGCGCGCACAGGGCAGTTTCAGTTGAGACGTTACACGGCGGCGCGCCCCGTACGCGGTGGCTGAAAGACGCCGCAAAAGGTGCATCAACGAGGACGACCTCCGGTGGTGTGCTTGCTGCCCGACGACGGGGGCAGCAGAGTCGTCGCAAGTCTGTTTAGTGTTGTACTACAAGAAATGTGGCGAGCTTCTAGCAGCGCCCCGGTTCTAGCAGAAGCACCAGATGTTTATACATATATATATTGGCCATTCCACTATTGTACTTTGGAGTATATCAGAAAATCTGTTTACTTGCTCTCTCCATTTGCTCATGCTGAATAATATTGTTACTATTACCAACGATATACCGACAGTTTCAGATGTAGCTTCAGCAGTTGGTATGGTTGGGCATCTGTCCACCTTGTGTCAATGTTTCCCCTCCACTAGCCTAACAAACTGCCATGCAACCCCTTCACCATGCACGCCATCTTCGTTGCCACCACGGTGCACCGTCGAGCTCGGCTTAGAGGGTAGGGTTTAGCCTACATGGCCGTAGTGATGCGACCACGTCATCAGTGCGATTTGCATATTTAATCTTTGGGTCTAAAAGTTTTTTTTTTTTTTTGCACTACAACACATGGGCCTTCAATGGCGAACATGCAATGATAATAGAACCATTCGTCATTAAATTTATAACATCTTTTTTGGAGCTGGTTCATCTTATAATAACGAAAATGTATCATTTGTCAGTGATACCAACCCAAAATCGCCATAGCCTACTTCGGTGTCAAATTGAATTATTGATGACGATCTTTATAACACAAATACTTATATGTCATAAACTCATAATTATTTAATTGTCATCGACAATTAGAATTTGTCGCTGAAATTTTCATTACACGATAGTTAGAGATAAGTAAAATTCTACACATTTTTTTGTGTCATATTTGCAACAGCCCAATAAAAATCTAATATAGAAGAGAGTTTTATGAAATTTAATAGAAATATAGTTAGAGATAGGCCTCCACGACTAGTGAGCTATGGGGGACTTAGGTATGTGTTATCGAAAACTTTATCTATATAGTATGGTTTTGGATGGTTTAGTAACTTCCTGACCCCACCGTTCCAACTTCCAAGGCATACGAAATACATCATGCGGGACAAAAGAATGCAGCAACAAAGATGACAGTCCATGAACCATTATTCTATGGTGAATTTTCCATGAATTGTGGTTCAAATTTGAACAAAATTCGACTGTTCGAGCTTGATTTGAATTTCTGGAAAATAAAACCAATGTTAAGCGTTCTCTTCTTACCCTAGCTCGTTCTGGGCTGAATCTTCGAAACCCATCTCTCTTTTGAGCCTAACTCAGGCCTGGTGGCCTTTTTCCTCTCCAGATTCATTTGTAGACTGTGGCCCACCTTGGCCCAGGTTGGACCCTCCTATTCCTCACACAGACTAGCAGATACAAACACCCCAGTCCATATCGGGAGTGTTTGGTTGCCTACGTGAGACTCAATCAGGCTCACCAGATGCAACCTTCACGTGATTGGTTTCGTGATCTATGATGATATGATTTGGGCTACGCCTCTCGTCCAAAAGCTACCCCCGGCCTGTCTCGCTCCACGTGGAAAAATTGTGCTGCTTGTTTGCCTGCACCGGTATGGACGGACGAGTAGAGCCTAGCTATTCTCAGACAGGCTAGATTGGGCAACTCTTCTTTGTTTGGTGGATTTGTATCTACTGAGCTTGTTTGTTTGCCTACGCTGCGCTGGAGGGTCCACATGTCAGCCACACTCACCAACCACCTGCACCCACATCGGAGCCCAAGCGAGCCGTGCAAGAGAAACGAGCTTCACCTTAGTTTCCTCCCGGCCTGGCCCAAGGGCGCTTTGGATTATGTGCTGCACAGGCTCTAACGAAGTCTAGGTAAACAAACAAGTGATGTTGCATCTCTTGAGCCTGGCTCTAGCTGCCCATGCAGGCAAACAAACACGCCCTGTATGTTTCTGGCGATGCAGGCTCGCATGGTGCAGTCAAGCGCACAAGGCCAGGTGTGCAGTGAGAAAAAACGAGTTGGCTGTTGCATCCGACTTGGCTGTGTGAGTGTGGGCAACCAAACAAAAAGCTGCTCATGTCACAGGCCTGGGCGCCTGGCTAACGCGAGACTGCATGCGCAACGCGAGTCAGTTTAGGGGAAGGAAACCAGACGCCCGTCACTTCTCTCGCCCGCCGCTTTCCCTCTTTCTCGCCTTGCCATCACCATTACTCCTCTGCGCAGCGCCGGCGGTGGGAGAAGAGAGGGACTAGAGGGAGGTACTCACCAATGGAAAAAAAAGGACAATGGCGACGGCAAACTTAACCGGACGTGAGGCGAACAGCAGCAGCTTGAGCTCCTCATGGATGATGGCATGCTCCAGCGTTCAGCGGCCGACGGAGACTGCAGAAGGGTGTCAGTGTGGCTCGGGTCGGAGGAGGAGGCCATGGGAGCAATTAGACTCTCCAGCGATCTTCGATAGCTCCGGATTAAGAGCACCTCGTCTTGATTTGGAATGATGACATCATCGCTCATTTTTTTTCTTCAGGAAAACAGATTAGAAATACACTCAAACACATATGTCCATACCTGGCTGTAGAGCCCATATGTCAGTCTAAAATAGAAGGAGCTATTCGGCTTCGATGTAAAGCAGCAAAACAACTGGTACAATAACCAGCAACTACAGTACTCTGTGAGGACGTCACCAGTCCCGTAGATAGCAGCAACAACTTTACATGGCAGCCAAATAGAGCTTAAGTATGCATATGAATTTTTAATAAAAAAATAAATTTGAACAATAACACATTAGCAATGTATCTTATATTTTAGTTTTCTAAATATGAACTAGTTTTCACCTACATAAGAGCTACCCCTATGTCCTAAAATAGTTGACGTTATAGATTTTAAATTTTGTTCCAGAATAGTCATTCTTACTTGTTTCTCAATACAACTTTCTCTTCTCCCAATACATATTTTTTATTTTCCAATACACCTCTATCTTTATTTCTCTATATCTCTTTTCTTCTTGTTTTCTGCACATCTTTTCAGTTTTCCTAAATTCCCGTGTCCAAAACCTAAAACGTAACTATTTTGGGACCGATAGAGTATTAATCTATCTATAATATAATAAAGACATATACACGCCTACACGCCTAGATATATGGCCGGTCCGTTACTGTTACCCTGTAGCGTTTTTGCGTTCCCTCCTGCTCCCTCCACGTCGCGCATGCTGGAAGTTTCCAGGCCGCTCCCGGACTCCCGTTTCTTCTCCCATCCGCAGAACTGCAGAAGAGACCGAACTCATGGAGGATGCGCACCATGTGCTCCATGATTTGCCTCTGCAGCGATTTTTGTTCAAAATTTGCAGGAACAAAGATGCAGATGCACATATCTACATCTGACAAGGAGTCCTATAGGTTCAAAGAAGCAAACAAGCAGCACAAGGTACCCTTGATCAAAAGTTAATTCAATGTTGCTGTGTACCTTATTCAGGTTGAGGGATATATTTTCTATAGCAAAAACATGTTCTTAAACATACACTTCAGGATCAATGACTGCAAAATGTTCAGGTGCCTTTGCAAGGTCAAAGTGTGTTTCTGTGCACTTAACGAACTTCTGTGGATTTCGTCATCTGAGGGTTAGTCAGAATTTGTAGATTCATGCAATGAATCGATTAAGATGTTCGGTTCATATGTCATCTTTGTTCTACTATGTTAGCCTCAACCCTTGACTTCATGACCTATATATGGCTTACTGATACCACTTTTCCATCGTTAATATTGCAGGATATTAAAACACTCCTGTGTTGTTCCATCCGAACACCACACCATCTAAGCTTTAGGTATCACATTCTCTTTATAATTAGTTATAGCTGTGACATCATCATACACAGATTTGAAACACCATTGCACTGTGTCTTGGTCTTATGCTCTGTTTATCATGTTGTTAACAGAATTGTGATATATAGAATGAAAAAAAACATCCATTGAGCAAATGGCTCAATGTTGATGCACCCAGGTTAGCTATCTCTCTATTTCCATCTTCAAATTTTCCACTTTCCTTTTCCTACCGATATATTAGATATATTTAGTATCTGATATCCATTATCATCTCCTTGCCTGGCTATGCAAAAAATGATACTTTGCTTACTAGATGATTCTCATCCTATTGGTTCAGATTACAGAGCCAGCTTACATGCCAGTGCAAGTGCAGATACCTGTATCACCTCATGTAAGTTTTTTTACGTCCATATCCTACCTACAGGCCTATTGATGTTCCTCGCTGTTGGTGTTTGCGCTAAATTCATCACAGTTCTTTGTTTTCAGCACACAGAGAAATTGGAGATCGTAATCGCCCCATCGGCAAAAAAAGAGTAGGTCAGTTACAACAATTTCCCCGCTCCTCCTAAAATCACGTATTTTGGTTCAGCCTTTGTGCACTAATTCGTATTTCCATTTACATTCCATGAATCAAATCATGTTGCCTTCTATGCCCATGCCCAATCTCAGGACAACTCCATTTTTTTTCTTCAGAAGACCATAATAAGTTAACTGTTGTCTCCAGTATGACTGAGGCACTGATCCCAGACCTGTACCACCTGTATGCCTGCAGGTACCACTAAGGAGTGCTGCTTGAATGCTTCTGCCAAGGGACTCTTCAGTGCTTCTCAAATATGTATATATCTCAATTACCACAAATAACTATGCTTTGCTACCTTAAACAAATGTTCATTACGTGTCTGGATGAACCAGTCTTATAGATTTTGTGCTAAAAGCATTTTTATCTTATTTTATTATTTTGCTTTGATACTCTTTCCTATCACACTCGCAATTTGTACCTTTCTATTCCTCTCCCTAATCAGAACTGCCGCTCCCGGTTGTAATAAATTGCTTCAAGTGCCATTTGTAGTTCAAATGACATTTTGCTTCATGCAACTCTATTAATCCCAGTACCATTGTTGTATCAGTATTGAATTCAATGAATTA